CTGACAACACCAAGTCAAGGGTTAAGATCCCCTTACTGGTCATCTTTTTTAAAAAAATAATTAATTAATTAATTAATTAATTAATGGCACTGAGTTTACTTTTTAAAGTTCTGGTATGTATTTGCAACTGAGAATAGATAAATAAAGATACATTTCTTTGGATTCCAGAGAGTTCAAAGATTTTAAGAGGTAGATAGGAAATACTTTAGAAAGCAGAGATACCAATTTAATCATCTAACCAAGATATGGATGGATTCTTGTGAAGTCTGCAGATCTGTGTGAGAATTAGGTTGTGTAAATCCAAAACCAGCACCCTTCAGTCTTTGAACTCCACGACCTAATACTTACCAAAAGGGGCTTAGCGTGATGGTATGGGCAGTTATCCCCCGAATGTCTGCAACTTTAAATCTCATGTCCTGCAAAAGTCTCTGACTCTAAGTTACTTCAATTAATTGGGGCAGCATCTGCCTTTCTTAGCAAATCACTTCAGGTACCTGGGGTAGTAACAGTCTTCTGCCTAGGCTTCATATCTTTTTACTCCAGAAAAATAAGAATTAATATGGAAGGTTTAAGAAATCAAAGCCATAATAATATTTCTGTAATAAGAAAGAATCTGGGCATATTAGGTAGTTTGTGTATTTACAGATGTATAAGAGAATTTGGCTTGAAAGACCCCGTCAGATGAATAATTTAAAATGTGTAATTGAGTAACTGATATAGACTACTGGTTTTAAGTTGAAATTTTAATAATGCTTAGGCAGAGTTTCGGGACATCTAAGACAATCTAAGATTTACCATATTTGTAAGTGTAATTGATTAGCTTTATAAGAATCAATACTTGAAGAAGATTGATACATTGTCAGATACCTTAAGTACCTAAAAAGGAAATAACATTAAATTTAAAAATTTATATGAAATATATAAATGCTCAGCAGAGGTCAGGAAACTTTTTCTTAATGGGTCACATAGTAAATATTTTAGGCTTTATTGGTCAGAGGGCCTCTGTCACAACTACAGCAGTACTCCCTTATTTACGGTTTTCCTTTTCAGTTTGTTACCTGTGGGAAACCGAAATCCAAAAATATTAAATAGAAAATTTCAAAACTAAACAATTCATAAGTTTTAAATTGAGCACCATTCCGAGCATCGTGATGAAATCTGCCATCTTGCTTCCTCCCACCTGGGACGTGAATCATCCCTTTGTCCAGCGTACCCACACTGTAAATGCTGCCCACCCATTAATCATCAGCATTGTCTGCCCCTGACATCCGATCATGAGCCTCGTGATGGTTTGATGATCCAGGACCACGCGAAGCAGATGATCCTCCTTCTGACATACACTACATCACTACGCATATGTCATTCATCTCACTTCATCTCATCACGTAGGCATTTTATCATCTCACATTATCACAAGGGTGAGTACAGTATAATAAGATGTTTTGAGAGAGAGACCACATTTACATTTTTATTACAGTATATTATTATAATTGTTCTATTTTATTGTTAGTCATTGTTGTTACTCTCTTACTATGCTGAATTTATAAATTAAACTTTATTATAGGTATGTACATCCAGGAAAAGACATAGAGTATAGGGTCTGGTATTATCCACGTTTTCAGGCATCTACTGGCCATAGTGGAATGTATCCCCCATGGATAACAGGGAATTACTGTATTCAATTTTGCCATTGTATTAGGAAAGTAGTCATAGACAATACATATATAAATAAATGGGCATGGCTGTGTTCCAATAAAACTTTATTTACAAAAACAGATGGTGGGCCCACACCTGTAGTTTGCCAGCCCCAAAGAGTCCTATATTATATTGGACAACGTTTAATTGACTGCCTTTGTAAAATAGAACAAACATTACCCCAAACCCTTAAAAATTATTGCTAAAATTTATCGGACGTAAATAAAATAAAATCTGTAAGCTTCACTTGAAAATTTAAGAACATTAGTCTTCAATTAAAATATTTATTCCAGGGCCGGCCCAGTGGCACACTGGATAGTGCGCAGCTTGGGAAGCGCGGCGGCGCTCCCGCCCGAGGGTTCGGATCCCACATACTGACCGGTTCCCGCTCACTGGCTGAGTGAGGCACGGGAGCAACGCCGAGGTTTGCGATCCTGTTGCCGGTCCCCGGTCTGGTGCGGGGGCAACACTGAGGGTTGCGATCCGTTGCCGAACACGGAAAAAGACAAAAAGACAAAAAAATAAATAAATAAAATAAAATAAAATATTTATTCCTGGGGCCGGCCCGTGGCTCACTCGGTAGAGTGCGGTGCTGATAACACCAAGGCCCCGGGTTCGGATCCCACATAGGGATGGCCGGTTCGCTCACTGGCTGAGCATGGTGCTGACAACACCAAGTCAAGGGTTAAGATCCCCTTACCGGTCATCTTTAAAAAAAAAAAAAAAAAAATGTATTCCTTTATATTCAACAACCACTTTTCAGGAAATGAAGAGAATGGAGAAACATGTTAAACACCACCCAGGGATATAATCAGCACAACTCCGATTGTGGGAAACTATAGAACTACCTGGTTTCTTCAACAAATAAAGTAGAAGGAAAGAAACTAAAGCAGGAGAACCAAAGGGGGATGCTATGGTTTGAACATCTGTGTCCCAACCAAAATCCATATGTTGAAACTTAACCACGAGTGTGATAGTATTTAAAAGTGAGACCATTAGGAGGTGATTAAGTCATGAGTGCAGAGCCCTTAGCAACCTTATAAAAGGACTGGAGAAAACTAGCATTCCCCACTTCTTACCCTTCCATCTTCTGCCATGTGAGAGCACGGCAACAAGATGCCCTCTTGGAAGCAGAGAGAGAAGCCCTCACCAGACACCAAAACTGCCGGCACCTTTATCTTGTATTTTGCAGCCTCCAGAACTGTGAGAAATAAATTTCTATTTTTTATAAATTACCCAGTTTCAGGTATTTTGTTATACCTGCACAAATGGATTAAGACAGGGGACTTATATATTCAAAGAGGTTTGAGAGACATATTGACCAATAGTATTGCACAGATTATATTTGGATTCTAATTCAAACAAACTATATAAGAAAACTGATGATATTTACAAAACAGCTGAAAATTTGGACACTGGCTGGATATCTGATAAACTTAAGTAATTATTGTTAAAATTCTGTAGGGATGATAATGGCACTGTGGTTTTATCTTTTTTAAAGGGTCCCTATCTTTTAGAAGTACATACTGAAACAGTGAAATGGTATGACAGCTAGGATTTGCTTCAAATTCATACAGGAGGGAGTTGATGGGTGGAGGCATGGTAGAAACTAGATTGGCTTTGAAGGCCGGCCTGTGGCTCACTTGGGAGAGTGTGGTGCTGATAGCACCAAGGGCACGGGTTCATATCCCTATGTGGGGATGGCTGGTTAGCTCACTTGGGAGAGCGTGGTGCTGATAGCACCAAGGCCATGGGTTTGTATCCCTGTGTGGGGGTGGCCGGTTAGCTCACTTGGGAGAGTGTGGTGCTGATAGCACCAAGACCACAGGTTCGTATCCCTGTATGGGGATGGCCAGTTAGCTCACTTG